CAATTTCAGAACCGTAACGCAGAACAGTTAGTCACAGGATAAAGCTTTCTGTTATTTTATCATTATGGTGTTGGTCACGAACAGCAAGCCCTCTCTGCTGTTCAAGAAAATAATAAACTCTTAAAGGGGATTTCTTTACTGTAATGTCATATGACGTTCTTTTTCAAATGATGCTTTCTGATATTCAAGATAGTGATAATTGGTAGGTAGTTAGTTATAAGCGGTACTGCATTTTAATTTTAGAAAGCGCAAATCCGCTTATGAATTATAAAAATTAGTAAGACCGCTAAAGCGCAAATGACATATTTAGGTCCACAATTAGCGGATTTGCCCTTTAGTGGACTGGTGCCCACCACTGCAGGAAAGTTTTCATTTGATTTAATGCAAGGGGAAAAAATCTGTATGTAAACATTGTTTTGAACTGTAAATAACTCCAAGCAAGAAGAGCCTTGGCTAAAAGAACAAAAAAAAAAGATTATTTTATTAGAACCTARAATTGCACAGTATATCACAACTTTATTTGAGAGTGGCACTTGTTTAGTTTTGCTCTACAATTTGATAACAGAAAAGTCAACTGCATTGTGGAGGAAGGACTTACTCAACATGCTGCTCTTGTACTCTTTAACATGTTCCAACAGRGAAGTTACTCTGGGAAGTATTCCAGAAAGGTGGTTTATTAAACTGAACATTGGATGGAGAAACTTAACAGTAAATTGTTGGGACAATATTTCACTGTTGCTGTTGGACCTGTAAGGACTAAGGTAGAGCAGATGAAAGGGAATTGTCTTTTATTCACTAAAATAATCTGTGGACATTATTTCTCAGTGCAATACAAAAAAACGGTTTCTGATTCACGCAGATGTTGCCTGTGTATTATGTTGAATATGGGAGGTTGGAGAATGCTACTGACATAAATAAGGAAATATGATTTAAAAAGGGAAATTWTTCCAATAAAACATTATTTTCTTAGAAAATCAAACAAAATAACCACACAATGTTCACATGTATGCTGTGAAAATAGATTAGTACCAGAAAAGTTGGGGCTAGAAACCACTTTCTTATTTTTCTTCTCAAATGTCTTTACAGTATTTATTGTAAAGATGTTTGTATAATGGAYTAAAACTATACAGTGAGACTAATGAGTCTGTCACCATACTCTGGATTCATACTTCGCAGTAAGTAAAGAAATTTGTTTTTGCATGTGTAAGTAGCAAGRTGTTCCTTTCTGCAAAATCATTTCACTCTTCACGAGCAACTGAAGCACTTATCTCTTGAAGGCCCATCCGTCCGTTTTCTGCCACTTCTCCGGGGTCGGGTCGCGGGGGCAGCAGCCTAAGCAGAGAGACCCAGATTTCCCTCTCCCCACTCGGGCCAGCACATCCAGGGGAATACCAAGGCGTTCACAGGCCAGCCGAGAAGCATAGTCCCTCTAGCGTGTCCTGGGTCTTCCTCTGGGCCTCCTCCCAGTGGGACATGCCCGGAACACCTCACCAAGGAGGCGTCCAGGAGGCATCCTAACCAGATGCCCGAGCCACCTCAACTGGCTCCTCTCAACGTGGAGGAGCAGCGGCTCTACTCTGAGTCCCTCCTGGATGACCGAGCTTCTCACCCTACTTCTAAGGGAGAGCCCAGACACCCTGCGAAGGAAACTCATTTTGGCTGCTTGTAACCGCGATCTTGTTCTTTCAGTCACTACCCAAAGTTTGTGACCATGGATGAGGGTAGGAGCGTAGACCGACTGGTAAATCGAGAGCTTCGCCTTCTGGCTCAGCTCTTGCTTCACCACAACAGACAGATACAATGCCCGCATCACTGCAGATGCAGCACCAATCCGCCTGTCGATCTCCCGCTCCATTCTTCCCTCATTCGTGAACAAGACCCCGAGATACWTRAACTCCTCCACTTGGGGCAGGACCTCCTCCCCAATCCAGAGACGGCACACTACCATTTTCAGGCTCAAGACCATCTTCTTGAATTTGGAGGCACTGATCCTCATCCTGACCGCTTCACGCTCGGCTGTGAACCACTCCAGTGAGAGCTGAAGATCATGATCTGATGAAGCCAATAGGACCACATCATCTACAAAAAGCAGAGATGTGATCCTAAGGTCATCAAAAAAGGATCCTCTCAACACCTTGGCTGCTCCTAGAAATTCTGTCCATAAAAGTTATGAACAGAATTGGTGACAAAGGACAACCTTGGCGGAGTCCAACTCTCACCGGAAACGAGTCCGACTTACTACCGGCAATGCGGACCAAGCTCTGGCATCGGTCATACAGGGACCTAACAGCCCGTATCAATGGGCCTGGTACCCCATACTCCCGGAGTACCCCCCACAGGAGCCCACCTTGGGACACGGACGAATGCCTTCTCCAATTCCACAAAACATATGTAGTCCGGTTGGGCGAACACCCATGCACCCTCCAGGACCCTGCTGAGGGTGTAGAGCTGGTCCAGTGTTCCACGACCAGGACGAAAACCACACTGCTCTTCCTGAATCCAAGATTCAACCATCCGACGCACTCTCCTCTCCAGAACCCCCAAATAGACCTTACCAGGGAGGCTCAGAACTATGATCCCCCTATAGTTGGAACACACTCTGTGGTCCCTCTTTTTAAATAAGGGGACCACCACCCCGTCTGCCGATCCAGGGGAACTGCCCCTCATGTCCACGCGATATTGTAGAGTTGCGTCAACCAACGCAACCCCACAACATCCA